GCTGGCATGTGGTGCTGGGGATTGAACCTGTGCTTTAGCTTAGCTTGTTCTAAGTAGGTGCTTTAGACCACTGAGCCATCTCACCAGCCCCCCAAATACATTTTAAAAGGAGGTAGGGGCAGGGAGATAGCTCGGTAGAATAAGCGCTTGCCTGGCAAGTGCAAGGGCCTGAGTTCAATCCCCGGTTCCGCCAAAATATAAAAATAAAAAATAAAAGTGTCTGATGAGGCTTCTGTCAACATCTCAGCTAAAAATGCAGCTGAATGAAGCATTGAGGACACTTGTCTCTATGTGTCCCCCAAAGCCTCATGCAGTCATAGGGTGGACTTTTTTTCCCCCTGCAGAACTAGGGATTGAACTCAGGATCTTGTGCTTGCCAGGGAAGCACTTATCCTACTGAGCCATCTCCCCAGTCCCCATTGAGGACACTTGTAAGAAACCTTGCTCACAGTGTTGCTTGCAGAAGACCTCCATATAGAACTCTATAGAAGCCGGGCATGGTGGCACACCCCTGTAATCTTAGCACTCAGCCTGAGGCACAAGGATCATTTCGAGTTCAAGACCAGCCTGAGCTACAAAATGAGCTCAAGGTCAGCCTAAACTGCATAGCGAGACCCTGTCTCAAAAAGAAAAAAAACAAAGGATTCTATAGAACCCTCTCTAAGATTGCACATAACAAATCAGCTAATGTCCCCCTTGGTGAGCAATATGTGTGAGACTGAAAGCACAAGTGCCTTTTGTGGAACTTGAAAGTGAGTGTGGTGGTGCACACCTGTAATCCCCGCACCTGTAATCTCAAGGCTGAGGCAGGAGGATCATTTAGAGCTCAAGACCAGCCTACAAAGTGAGTTGAAGGCCAGCCTGAAATATGGGAGACCCTACCTCAAAAAGGAAAAAAAAGTGACAACACACTATGAACTGTTTGTGATTGTACAGATATTGCTGCAAGTTCAAGGTCAACCTGAACTACATAGTGAAATCCAGTTTCAAAAGACAAGAGAAAAAAGAAAGTGACACACTATCTCTTCCTACTCTTGTTCCACTTCTTCCTTTTTCCCTTATCCTCCTCTTTTCCTCTATTGAGGGTCAAACATGGTATCATGCATGCGAGCGAAGTGCTCTACCACGGAGCTACATCTCCAGCCTAACACACTATCACTCCTCAAGGCCTTCATGATTTAAGAAAAGAACTAATACTAGTCTTGATCTGTTTCAGGGCTTTGTCCATACTATTGGGCCAAGTGTTCTATATCATTGAGCAACATTCTCTGCCCCAACTCCAAGCAAGGCACAGTAGCACACACCTGTAATTCAAACACTTTGGGAAGCTGAGGTATGAGGATATCAAGTTCAAACCCAGCCTGGGCTACCTAGTGACTTACTGAGACCTTGTCTCAAAACAAAAAGTAAAAAAGGGCTGGGGATTACCTTAGTCTGAAAGCCTTGGGTTCAATCACCAGTACCATCAAACAGGGAGGGGGCTGGGAATGTAACTCAATGCAAAGGCTCTAGGTTCAATTCCTAGTAGGGCAAAACAAAAAGTGCAAAACTGTAAAGTTACTAAAAGAAAAAAAAGTTTGTAAAAGAAACTGTAGACAAGCGCAAGGGCCTGAGTTCAATCCCCGGTTCCAGCAAGAAACTGTAGAACATCTTTGTGACCTGAGAGGAGAAGGATTTCTTTAGAAAAGACCATCAGAAAAATGATACATCACTTTTTTTTTTTTTTTTGAGACAGGGTCTCATTGTGTAGTCCAGGCTGGCCTTGAACTCACAGTGATCTTTGTGTCTCAACTTCCCAAGTATGATTACATCAAAAGTAAAAGTCCTTGGGGCCAGGGAGATGACTCAGTGGAATAAGCGTTTCCCTGAGGGCCTGAGTTCAATCCCCAGTTCCGCCAAAAAAAAAGTAAAGGTCCTTATTTAAATAAAACTACTTACAAGGTTAACATTCTAAACTGGAGTGGGTTTACAATTTCCAACACTTAACAAGGCTAAGAATTAGGGCCGGCCAAATATCTTAGCGGATTAAAGCGCCCGCAAGCAGGCGCAGGGGCCAGAGGTCCGATCCCCAGGCCTCCTGTGCTGGCCCCACCCCCAGGGCGTGCTGAGACGGCAGTTGAGACTGGCCGCCTATAATCCCAGCTCTTGGGAGGCTGTAAACAGGTGGATCACTGAGTCTAATCTAGTAGTGAGACTCTGAACACTCTGCAGACCCTTCCCTAAGATACAAAAAAAAAAAAAAAAAAAACACCCACAAAGACAGGAGCCGACAGCAGATCCAATGGGAAAGTAACTCAGATCCAATGTGAAAGATGACAAGGACGGTGAGGATGACATGTGAGAAAGCTCTTGAGTCAATAAAAGATCTATGGGTTGGCCCAATGGAAATATGGATGACTAGCACACTGCACTTAGAAAGTTAACAGGTGTAATTTGTGTTGGTGTCAGAAGGATGAGGGGAGGACCTGAGGAGGCAAGACAAATTCAAAATTCTACACCTAAATAATTTAGTTTCTTAGCATAAAGGAATTCATTCTTGTGGTGATGCACACCTGGAATCCCAGAGCTTGGGAGGCTTGAAAACAGGTGAAGCACTACGAGTCTGATCTGTGTAGTGAGACCCTCTACTCTACTAAATACATTAAAAAGGAATTCATTCTTTATTGAGGGATCACTCAGAAATAATAAGGGGCTGGAGAGATGGCTCAGTGGTCTAAAGCACCTACTTGAAACAAGCTTGGCAAAGCACAGGGACCGCGGTTCGATCCCCAGCACCACATGCCAGCCAGACCCGCCCCCTGGTGGGCTGAGCTGGCCACACACACACACACAATAAATAAATGTAATAAATAAAAATAAATATTAAAAAAAAACAAAAAAAGTTTTTTTTTTTAAAAAAAGAAATGATAAATGTGCGAAATCCATACTCTGTAAACGCAGTTCAGATACTGAAGACTAACTTGTTGGCAGTGGGCTGACAGTGGGCTTACTTTACATTTCAATGTGTATTTTTCTTTTCTTTTTTTTTTTTTTTGGCAGAACTGGGGATTGAACTCAGGCCTTTGCGCTTCCCTGGCCCTCAATATGTATTATTAAAGTCCACTCTATGGATCAAAGCCTCAACTCTCCTGTGTGACAGAAAAATTCGTCCAGAGATTGGGATTTACATACTCTGGAAACAAGATACATAGCGATTTGCAGAGGGCATTGAAGGTAATCTACTGATGGGAAAATCAGGACACTCGCTTAGGGGACCAGTCAGATAAGGATGAAAGCTTATCAGAAGTCAAAAGGGTAACACGAGGGGAAAAGGTCCCACTGATAGGAGGCTAGATGGGCACAGAGGAGCAAGTAAAGTGGCTGGGGACAACTGCTGAGAAAATGTAGTTTGACAGGCAGGACTGTGAAAGACGATGACTCTGGGACACTAGGGAATAAAACGACCGGCCCTTGAGGGATATGAAGTTAGCGAACTAGGAGGTAAGGGAGTGTCATATCAGAAGACGGTGATTGTGTTGATAGGAACCTGCAGCAGAAACAATGGGAAAGTAACTCAGATCCAATGGGAAAGATGACATCAAGGACGGTGAGCATGACATCAGGAACGGAAAGGGTTATATGAGCTAAAATAGTCGCGCACAGAAGAAAAGACGGTTCGGCCGGTGAGCAAATGTTAATGTTAGAATACACCAATTGCAAAAAGTTATTCCCGGAAGCACCCAAGATGCTTTGCTCCCTCCGCTCTGCCGTCGCTTCCTCTCCTGTAGCCCCGCCCATTCACTTCAGCCAATGAGCACACACGCCAACAAGCGCCGGGGGACGTTTCGTGACGTATATGCTACGTAGGCTTTATCAGGCGCCTTCCCGCGCAAGAGCTTCCCTGTTCTCCTTGTTCTTCAGCGCTTACCCTCCGTGGTTCCTTATTACTTTCTAATCTCCAGGTAAGCAACGTACATCTTATGGTTAAGCTTTTCGTTTCACGTGCGCCCTACTGGCCACAGCGGGAGACGTGGGTAGGAGAGTAGCGACCGGCGACACGTAGGCTTGGGTGTCCCAGGAACGAGGGAGATCTGGTTCTCAGAGGTGAAACTTTTCGATTGGTGGGGAGGCCTGCGCTCAGCGTCTGAGAGCGACTAATGCCGGGAGGTACTGGTGGCGTCACCGGGGGCAGTGACCACGCGACTGCGGAGACCCGCTACCCTTTTTCCCACGTGATCGCCGCCATTTTCTGGGAGCTCAGGGCCCGCGAGGCTGTTCTGGGCATGCGCTGCGATGGCCCTCAAATGGCGACCGCAGTGGGCCAGCATGGCAGATTCGATCCTTTCTAGGCTTCCTAATGAGTCACTTGACCTTTAATTATGTAATTTTTATTATTTGGGTGTTACAGGGTCTCCCTACGCAGCTCGACTCCTTTTGGTGGAATTACAGGCGTGTGCTACCACGCCCGGGCAGTGGCCGGTTCAGCCCGCCCTGGGGGCGGGGCTGGCGCGGCACATGGTGCCCGGGATCGAACCGGGGTCCATGCAGTTGCCTGAGCAGGCGTTTAGTCCGCAGAGATCTCATCTACCCTTATTTGACTTATAAATTACTTAAACCTTTATCCCCACCTCTACCTTAACTTTCTTACATCCTTTTCTGAAGCAGGATTTGAATTCGCTGCCATGTCTTCTGAAGAAGGGAAGCTCTTCGTCGGTGGGCTCAATTTCAATACAGACGAGCAGGCACTGGAAGACCACTTCAGCAGCTTTGGCCCTATTTCTGAGGGTGAGGCATAGGCCAGACCCATGAGTTGGGGTGGGGGTGAGCAACGATGAGACGTTTGCGGGAGGTTTTTTTGGTGGAACCGGGAATTGAACTCAGGCTCATGTACTGGCCAAGCAAGCATATATTCTACTGAGCTATTTCCCCGGCCCCTGAGACATTTGCTTTCTATGGGACACTATGAGAACAGTCAGAACGTAGAGCCTTTAAAAAGCTGGGCATTATAGTGTGTGCCTGTAATCCCAGCATGCAGGGGGGCTGAGGCAAGATGATCACAGCGAGCTCCAGGCCAACTTGGGCAAGACATTGTCCCAAGAATCCAGTAGGATACAGGGTTAGTGAGAGGAAGTTGATTGACTGTAATCTTCCTTGTTAGATACCTCTTTGCCACTGAATCTCTTTAGATGCTGTCTAATTCACGTTTCCTCTTTTTCTAGTGGTTGTTGTCAAGGACCGGGAAACTCAGCGATCCCGGGGTTTTGGCTTCATCACCTTTACCAATCCAGAGCATGCCTCAGATGCCATGAGAGC